CTTGAAAATTGTCTTGCTTTAAAGCACCGTGTCCAAGATCTGATAGATGCAAAGGAGTTACAAATTACATCAGAACCTGAGGTTGTTGGTCCAAATATCACTAAAAACCCTTTACCCACACATGATGGTCCAACGGTTAATATGATCGAGAAAGATTCCGATAAAGGTCATGAGGTGACTACGTCAACAAATAATGATGGTTTGAGCACTTCTTTTTGAGAAGTTGAGCATATGTGTCATTGATGAAGGAAGGGGCGATGACAAGCTTACTCTACCTACTCATGGTGAAGCTTTAGACAACAAGACAATAGAGATTCTTCTTGTTCCTATCATTAAATCGTAAGATGTGTCAATCTTCTTGTGGTTGAGCTTGTGACCATGAGAAGAGATGGTTAAAACAAGCCTTTTATATTTTACGAAGCATTGTAGGCATGACAAATAATGTTCCATTCAGTCCATTTCAGTCAATGATGTTACTTTCATTTTCATTCCCTCTCTTCATATGCAAGATTGTTCATTTTCTTTTATTCAAATTTCTCATGCTAGCCAAAATTTCCATCTCCAGGTTTGCTGATAATAAATCCACAAATAGTGATATCATTCTTGAACTTACACATAGTTTTGATGAACTGATTTATTCTATGGAAAATGATGAAGAATTAGAACCTTTTCCTGAATTGACTGACATGTTGAGAGAAGAAGAACCTAAATTCCAACCTAATCAAAATGGCCACAACATAAAATGGGGAGGTCAAGCCTCAAAGGTTTCAAGAAAGAGATGTTGTTTTGAAGGAAAAGATGAAGGTTTGAAGGAAAAGATGTTTTGAAGAAAATTCTGCCTAATGAGAAGGATCCAAGGGGAAATTTTGCTCCAAATTACAATGGTCTTTACATCGTGCAGGCAACTTTTTCAGGAGCAGCTTTATTATTAGTTTATCTTGATGGAGATGATCTCCCACATCCGGTAAATGCAGATGTGGCCAAGAAATATTATGTGTTAAAAAAAAAAAAAAAAAAAAGAAGGGGAGAGAGGAAAAGAGGCTAGGCTAAAGACCTAATGGGGTGGTCTAGGCAAAATAAAGAAAAAGTGTTCATGATGAGGAAGTAAAGAATCCAATGACGAAAGGCTATTCTTCTTTATCCTTTGATCATGGAAATTATCCTTAGAAACCCTTTTTGAGCCAAAAGAAAAGGCAATCGTCTAACTTATAAAAGCCTGACGATTTTATTTCTAAATTGTCCTACATCAAGAGCCTAGGGTGAGAAGAGTGTTAGTAAGGGGATTCAATGGGAAAAGGGAATTTTGAGCCATTTTATTCTTTCTTTCTAATTAGCCAAGCCCTAAACCACGATACAAGCCAATGTAAAGTCCTTATCAGAGGATTTGTAACTTGCTCATCTATGAACAAAAAAAAAAAAAAGAAGAAGAAAAGAGAGAAGAAGAAGTGGGGGCAAGGTCTAAGTTGAAAACCTGAAAGGGTGACTTAGGCTAATGACAACAAAAAGATCTATTGAAAGGAGATATTCAAGAAGGAAAACATAGCAGTGATCCATGAAAAGGGAACTAAGACTGAGTCATTGACCTAAGTGTAAAAAGGGACGTCTTTTCAATGAGTTGAGAAAGAGATGATATCACTATTGTGGAAGAATTGTTGAGCAAGATTTTCCTGCCATTTAATGGTTATATGTTCAAAGCTTTCTTCATACATAATTCATTGTTTCATTTCCCCTTAATAAATTTTGAAAATTCCTTTTCATTCTCCATTTCCATACTTTTGTTGGAACATTAAATAATCCAAAACTTGATGCTTCATTTAATATGATTGTTTCATTCAATACTATCTTTGATACATTAAAGATTTGTGATAGTCACAGGAAAATTCAAAGCTGTCCAATGTTTAGAAAATGCTCAAGCTAGTAGAATGATCATTGCCAATTGAAGAGAAGAGATGAA